AGTAAGGCCTTCCTAAGTGCACTCTCTCAGGACTATAGTCAAAAAAAAAGCAAAATGTGTACTCAAAGAGAAAGTGCATTTATAGAGAGCAAATATATAATGCTCTTATAAGTTGGGGCCAAGCTATGCTGTGCACTTAGATAGAATTTATATAGTGCGTGCACTTATAGAGTGTATACTTAGGGAGGTCTTACTGTAATAAAGACATTATAGACATATATATATATTGCTAGTTTACGAAGGCGCACTTGTGAGATTAATAACAAAAAATGAATAAAGACAGAATTATTTATTATCAGGTGGAAACATAGTATGATGATTTGCATTTCTTTTTAAAAACAACATTTTATCTACCAAATTAGGGTCAAGACGAGTTCTTCTAGCAGAAATATGAGTATTCGCATCAGAAAATAAGCGTTCTGATAGAACTGATGTAGCAGGAATGGACAAGTATTTACGGGCAAGTTGACCAAGAAGTGGAAAACTTATACGTCTATCTTCCCACCATTTTAAGGGATTTTGATTTTTATGAGCTATTGGTTCCTTCATATATCGTGTGAATTCATCGTGAGTAATAACATTATCAGGTATTGACAATGTTCCCCATAATTCGGCACTTAAAGAATCTTGAAAATCATCATTAATAGTTACAGAGTTTCTTTCTATTTCAGTATTATTTGAAACAGTTACTTGGTCTTCAAGTAATGACAATTCAGCACGAACTTGGGCTTCAGTTTCTTCACGTTCTTGAGCTGTGGCAAATGGGAGTAGTTTTAGTGCTCGGGGGTCTAAAATGGAAGCTTTTAAACCTATTGTTAAGTGTTATAAATCAGGGTAAAAAAATGCAATCGATTAGTTGATTGAAATTTTTTTAAAAAACCGATTAGTTCATTAATCGATTAATCGACTAGTTGTTTAGTTGATCTAAAAAAATTTCATTAAAAAACTAAACAACTAATCGATTAAACAATTAATAGTTAATTTATTAATAATTAAATCAAAATTGTTAACCGACTAGTTGCCAACTTAGCCAACTAAATGATCAATTGGTTTTCGATTTATATCACTACCTATTGAGTTAAACACATTTCATAATTCATCAAGGGACAAAAAAATAGCAGCTCGTGCTTTTTCTAAAAGCCCAGAACAATTTACAGGTGATAAATATTCTACAGTGTTAGAATCTTCTAACTCTGTAAGTGGTTTTTTTTTTTTTTTTTTTTTTACAACTTACACGACCTTTATTACGATATGCATTTCGATGTGCATATTGCCATTGTTGCCGATTTCCTGCTGATGGTATATCGGCCTCATTGTCACTACTAAGACTTGAATCCTCATCAGTAGCAGAGTCTTCTAAGCTGTAAATTAGATTAATCCAAGCTTCAAATGATTCAGCATTTTCACTTTTAGGCGCGAATTTATTTTTTAAGGTTCGAATATACGGATATACAAGATTCAAAGTAGGATATTTTGATCCACAAACGTGTCTTGTAATTTTTTCAAATGGCTTTAAAAGGTTAACCATTTGCTCTGTAAATCTAAAAAAAATATATGTAATAATAATATATTTAAGTATATATATAAATAAAAAATAATATCTAATACTTATAATATATTCAGTATGCTTAATAATGCTAAAGCCGTATCCAAATTATAATTACTTTTTTGATGCATTTATAGTTAGTAATTTATAAAAATATCAAGAATGTAATTTATGCAATATGTAGATCAATATGTAATTGGACACAGCATATAAATTAGCAGTTATATAGCGATAGTACTTTTTTAAATTTTATAAAAGTAAAATACTGATACATACTCTTGTTTTTCCGTAGTTAGACATAATTTTAGAAGTTTTTCACCTTCTCGTTTCGAAGCAGCACCTGGTTTATTTCGTAATGAGGTTGCGAGTGTTAACATTGTTGGATGCAATGTTAAAATTCTTTTCCATGCCAAGTAAGTCGAATTCCAACAAGTCTTGCAATCAGTTAGAACTTCGAGTAGATTTACTATTTCATCCTTAGCATCACTCTGAACTATATCTGATGAATCTATTTGCATTTGCAGTTGCATATCCCGCAAACGTTGTGCCTGTTTTGGAAGTTTAAAGAATGCTTGAATACTTCGAAGCCGTTTATGGATCGGTTTAATTTGCTTTAACCCTTCTTTTACTGAAAGTTGAAGAGTATAGGCAACACACGACTGCCAATTAATATTAGAAAGGTGATTTTCTTTTAATAATTTAACACCTTTTATCATATTTGCTCCATTATCTGTTACTATAGTATGTACTTTATTTACTAATCCCCATTTATTTATAATACTAAATAATTCCTCACTAATATCTTGACCCGTATGTGGATATGGCATGTGGTGAGTTGAGATTAATGCTTCTTAAAGCCTAAAATCTGAGGTTAACCATGTTATGATAACGCCAAGATAGCCATGATTACTTTTCGCAGTCCATAAGTCTGTTGTTAGATTAACTGTATTAATATTTAATAATAATCCTTTAAGCTATCTTGTTCCCCATACATAGGCTTCAGAAATATATTTTTTAACAGTTTTCGCACATGGTATTTGGTATTGTGGTTTAAACTTATTTAAAAGCTTACGAAACGATTTATTTTTTAATATATTCAAGGGTTGAACGTCGTGTACAATGAATTCAACTACGAGTTTTGTTAATTCTCGTTGTTGTGTTGGTGAAAGAGAAGGTAGGTCTGGATCCGTTGAATCAGCAGATTGGTCAATTGTTGCTATTAACTTAAAAAAAAAAAATTTTTAAATAAATAAAAATAATAAAAAAAAGAAAAAAAAATCAAAATTTATAATTTTTACTTCATTATTATCATCGAGATACTTTTTATAATTCTTTGGATTTATATGATGCTTTTCGCATAAATGTTTTACTAAATTTCCAGTACTGCTTCCCGATTTAACATATGGGTACGGTTGTGCTTCAATTCCGTCTAATTCATCTAACTCTTGAGTGCAAACCTTGCAATATGTAAGTGTATCATCAGTGTCATCATCTTGATAAAAAAACCGGGTAAAACTAGCATTTGCTCTCGGGTTTGATAGATTATTAGAAGAAACCGAAGCAATAGATGAAGTGGATTGGGCTTTTGTTTTAGAGATCTTTCTCTTTTTTTTATTGGAATTACTTATTTTTTAAAATGAAACTTTTAATAAAATTTTTTTAAATCGAAATGTTTTTTAATGAAACTATTTAAAACAAGACTTTAGAACGAAACTTTTAATAATTAGAAACTGACAAGCGTCGATTATTTATAAAAAAATTTATTATTAAACGAAATAAAATTTATATCTTTTTAAAGAAATTATTTAATAAGAAATTCATTAATATAAGTTATACTCCTAAACTCCCTTGTAACGCACTTGGAGACCTATTAATTATTTAATGATAAGTTCAATATACGGTCATAATTCTCTTATGTAACCTACTTAAGCTGATAGAATCTTCATTTATTTAACTTCTAAGTGCACGTTTTGGTTATTTTTTTTTATCCCTCTCGAGATTGCATCTAGAAGGTTTAATTATACTAATCATTTGATACTTCTCTTAAAATATGATTTGAATCATTTTTATTATAACTATCTTAATAGTACACTTAAAGATAACAATTCTAATTATTTGAAAAGCAAGTCATACTCCTCTTAAATATGCATCTTTAACTATTTATTATTATAACCCCTTCACATTACTTAGGAGATTTGACTACCAACCTAATTATTTAACATTTCATACTTTTTTTAAATACTATTCTTTGACTCTTTAGCATGCCAACTAATTATTCTACAAAAACGTCATACTCCTCTAAGCGAAACCCCTATAATAAACTCCGTAAGTCTTCGCTTAGTAAAATTCTTACTAACTTAACCCCAAGCCCCTACTTAAATACATGTTTTGGCTTTTTTTTTTTTTTTATGTTTCTTCTGGCCCTTGGAATTGTAACTAGTAGTGTAGCCGTAACTGTATTAATAATTTTTAATAAAAGTATCGATGTATTAGCATGAATAGACTTTCAAACCAGTAGAGAATTCTATTGAACATTAGAGTGCGTAAGAGTAAAAATCTGAAACTTATCATAGTAAATCATTATATGCAAGTTGCAGGTTTTTACTATTACACACTCATTAAATAAAATAATCATGCCGTTTTCATTGAGCATAAATAAATAATCACATCACTTCAATAAAAATCGTGTTTAAGCGAAGAATAGCACTGGCATATAAAAAAATTTACAACTACCTAAAATAAAGTGTATTAGAACCGTGAAGATTATTAAAACTAACACAATACTTATTAAAAGAAAATATGCTTTGGAATCATAATGTAACGATAGTTAAATAAATAAAGTATATACCTCGGTTGGATTATCTTGATTTGAGGAAGTATCGTTATTCTGAGTTGATGCAGAAATGGTATTGTATTGACTCAAAGTTTTGACGGTATTTATTGTATCAGGTAAATAACGAGGGATGAAGTAGAAACATTGGATAACTTAACAAATGCAGTTGGATTATCTTGACGACTTGACATTAAAGTCTGATCGCTTACAGACTAAGAATTTTGGTTTCAAAAGCAAATTGCGAGAATGTTCAAAAAGTTCTATAGCGTTATTTGAAATATTAGTGGGAATAAACAGAAAGTTGAAAATAAAGAGTTACTACGTAGGTGAAGCTGCTAATAATACCTTCCCGATTATTTAAAGTTTCCTGAAGCTAATAATATCTTCCCGCTTATTTAAAGTTTTCTAAAGTTAGATCAAAATCC